ACAAACAAACAAACATCCTGTAAATGGACCATAAAGCTTATGTTATTGTCTTGTGTATCCTCTCTCTCCCGCAGCTCCTCCCAGGAAGAAGACTCAGTGGGCAAGGGTAAAGGAAGTGTAGACAGTGGCCCTGCCGGAGAAGCCAGTAAAAGATGGCCTGGCGGTCTGGACATCACTTCCACAACAACCGTTGATGAGTCCGTTGCTACTGAGATTATCCTGAAGCTGATCAAGTTTTTGGACACGGTGGTGGTGGTGGCCATGAGGATGGAAGATGACCACTACTTGTTGCAGCATGTCACGCTGGACTTTTTACATCTGGTGAGATGGAGAACATTTTAAAGGTTCAACGCCCCTTGCAATGCTATGAGATCGTTAATTGACCCCTTAATTGCTGAGATGTTTCTGTCTACATTTGTACAGAAAAGTAGAATATCCTTTCAAGAGAGATTTTAAACTAAGCCAAAATGTCTTTCCCCTTGTTTAACTTTTTCAGTATGCAAGGGATTCCACAATTTTACACACCCATCGGCAAAGGGTGTTAATTTAAAACCCCTATCATTCTGTCAAATGTCGATGGATTTGTTTGTGTGAACACTCAGACTATTCGTAATTGGACGAAGAATCACAAAGAGTTAAAAATGAACAACTATGCAAGCTGTTTACGTCTCCTAAAACTTCCTCTACCAACCATTAGAAAAAGTGGCGGTAAACCATTTCGGGAGAGCACTAGCGAGTACTTACATCTACATAATATAGTGAAGAAGTGAGGAGGTGGAACTCCTGAATTTCATGTCCATCTTCTGTAGGACTGAGCCAAATGGGAAAATTTGTGCACATTTCCTTTCTCAAGGACAACAGCAGGCTAAGCTGAGCCTCGACATCCCCCCCCTCCCCCCCTTCCCCCCAAACCAGCAATCTCATGATTACAGGTCCAGTTGCCTAACCACAAGACTACTGACGCCAGTCTGATGAGTTTAGAACCAGACATGTTGAATGTGTATGCCAAATGAACATGTCTTTTGACACAACTCTCTTTACTATACCATTGCTGTAGGGAATTTTTTTTTTAAAGCTCTCCATACTAGCGTTTATGGTGTAACTGTTCGGCACTTTGCGTCGCATGCGGAATGTGAGTTTGATTCTGTAGTGGATAGGTATTTTTACTCAGTGAGTATCTCCTCTGCTGGGACATTGTATCCATCTCAGTACAGTTAATAAGTTCTCTCTCACAGATAGGATGGAAACAGCCCGCCTCTTACTTTAATTGATAGAAATCGTGTTATGGGGAATGTAGGGTTTAGGTTTTCAAGAACAACTTGTGTGGATTGGGGCCTCATACAAGACAGCCTAGCTGGATGGATAACAACAAGAAGACAGCCGAGCTGTCCGACACTACTTCGACAGCAGCCTCTGATAATTGGTCGCTTTTAAGGACAAGCGGGCTAACCTAGATGTAGAGGATTTCCAGAAATCTTGACCTACACCAAAAGTGGGCATTGCCCTACCTACAGGAGAAGTTTGGTTTCATTGGTGTGTATATTTGTGTGGTTATAGTGAAAAAGTAAAACTCTCCTTGCTTTTTAAGGAAACTGAACAAGGGGCAAAAACTTTATCTTCGATTTTCTCAAAACAGCATTTTTCGGGATAGCCCCCTTGTGCTTAAAAGCGATCAATTCTGCTGCTGCCGAGATTATCTTGAAGCTGGTCCAGGCTGGAAAGTTTCTTTGTGTCTTTAAAAATGTTCGTTTATGTGTCTTGAAAATGGTTTTTGTTTGTGTCTTCAGACGTCCCAGATCTGCCAGAAATACACAGTCCCTGTTGTGTGTCTGCCTATACAGGTCATCCACAGACTTCTGTTCTCTGACTGCCCGGCCACTTTAGCCCGGCTTTGCAATATCATAAATTTGTGAGTATTAGCAAAGGCAGGGAGTTCTGCTCTTTGACGACCATGACACTTTTGCTGTTTTCCACTGTCTGGTCAAAATTATGAAATCGAAGAAATCAACATTTATCAACCCATTGGGTTTTTAAAAATCAATTTTGCTTCTTTTTTTTTTAAGGTTCAACACATTTAAGTCCATTTAAGAACACATTTCTGTGTGGATTTCACTGAAAAACGTTGATGAAAGGTACAAAATATGTAGATTTGCAGTTACTTCACTAAGGACACTCAAGCTTTGGAAGTCACCAAACTTTGGCGGCCATTTACTCGCATATTTTACCAGGTGACCCCCATTTTTTCCACTAAAGCAAGGCAAATAAACAGGCTTTGAGATGATATAATTAATTCCATATGTCCGAAAATGGACGAGTGCCTAATGACACATTTAACTGACTGACTGTATTTGAAATAACTGACTGACTGTATTTGAAATAACTGACTGACTGTATTTGAAATATGGGCCTGTGGCCTTAAATTCTTGAATAAAATAGCATACCATACATTTCTGACCCAGATTCCGTGAGGCTTTCAGCAAAGTGCCCAGTACGATGGCATCATCCAGCATGATGATGGGAGAGATGAGCAACGGTCGCAGAGTCTTCAATAGTCTCCTGCTGGACACTCTAGGGATGCTTTGGCAAGGTGAGGATGCTTTGTTACTGTCTGAGACTTTTTCTTCTTACTCTTCTTGTTGTTCTTCTTCTTCTTCTTTTTCTTCTTCTGCTTCTTCTTCTTCTTCTTTTTCTTCTTCTTCTTCTTCTTCTTCTTCTGTTCTTCTTCTTCTTCTCCACATCATCATTTTCCTCCTCCACCTCCTCCTCCCATCTTCTTTTTCTTCTCCTTCTTACTCTCTTCATCATTATCCTCCTCCTTCTCCTCCTCCTCCTCCTCCTCATCATCATCATCCTACTCCTCCTCTTTCTTCATCTTCTTTTCCTCATCAGCCGGAAGCCAGAAATGACTGTCCATTTCGGTTCTAATACCAGAAATAAAATGCAAAAGTTGAGGCATTACAAAAAACATTCCATCTTGTGTCTGAAAAGCAAACTATTCTGCGGGCCCATATGACTTTATGCAGTTGGGAGCGCCATAAAACTGTTTTCATATATTGAAAACTGACACCAATTCACCAAGTTTTGTCTCAATCACAATTCCCAATGTGTCAATGTCCTCTCGTTTCTATTTTCACGCTCCATTTTTCTCAAAACAAGAACTTTGTAGTTAACTAGCTCTGAGCTGACGTTCTACTTAAGACTGGGTGGTTGGTGGGTGCTCTTGGTGTGGTTTGCTTCTTCTTTCCTATCAAATATCTATCGTCTTTATTTCCTCTCCTTCTGTTTTGTGTTTGTTACTCTCTTTTAACACCCTCTAATCTGCGGCATTTATATGACCTTAACGTGTTGCAAGTGCCGTAAAACACTTACTAAAACTAAACTCCTTGAGACTGCTAAATTTTTATGGTAGTCTTAACGTATCCATTCGACCCCCTGTATACCTTCTGTATATATGAAAAGTTATCCAGCCCCTTGTCTTTCAGACTGCAATAGGCTGTTTTCAAATATATACTCTTGATTTTTATCAAGTTTCATGACGTTTGTGTACGGGTTTTGTACTTAAAGATTTGCATGAACAGAAATTTAGGCTCTGGGAATCGCAACCGTAAGGTCGTGGGTTCGAATCCCGTCAATGGTCTGACGTTGTGTCCTTGGGAAAGGCACTTTACGCGAATTTTCCTCACTTCACCCAGGTGGGAATGGGTACCCGGCTATAGACAGAGAAAGATCTTGTCAGTTTGGTAGTGTTTGAGCGCTTAATCAGCTGCTTGCATTGTATGCTTCCAGGGAAGCTGAGAATGTTTCGGAGTGTTCTATGGTCCTCTTGGGGTAATAATATAGTGTAAAGCGCATAGAGCCTGCTGGTGAGCGGGGATATGCGCTATACAAATGCTATCTATTATTATTATTATTATTATTATTATTATTAAATTTGCACCAGATGCTTTGGCTTCTGACGCTAACACTTTACTTCAGTTTAATTGCTGAATGGGTGACTTATAATGCTAGTGTTTGGTCTTTGGTGTCTCCTGACAAAGAGGAATTTGGGTTGTTTTTTTTTCTTTGTTCTGTAGCTGAGAAAAAAAAAGTGAGATGTTTGCTTTCCTGTTTTAGAAACTTTAGGTGCTAGTGCGTGTTCTGTGAATTTGATTAGATCATGGAGTAGATATTTATTTAAAAAATTATGAAATTTGTCTGTAGAAGACAGAATGTGTGTTTCATCATGTCACTTTTTGTCCACATATTCACAGGTCGAATGTTTTCAGACAGAGGTCAGAAATATCCATCAATCTTCAGCTTCACCCTGCCCCGAGAGCTAAAACCAAAGGTGCAGGAAAACGCACTCACCGTCTATCTTGGACCAGCTTTCATGGGCTTGGCCTACAAGTTTCTCAAGGAGGTAGGAGTTAACTACAGAATAGTTCTCTCTGAATTGTTGTCTAATAATGAAATGATAATTGCATTAATGTAGCACATATCCACACTCCAGCATGTTATAAGTTTTACAACCATTATTATCTTGGTCTAACAATGGACAAACAATTTACGTGGCAAAATCACGTAAACAGTATCATTAAAAAGGTAAATCAGACACTGTACTTTCTGAGGAAACTTAAAGTCCTTCAATCTGAATTAATCAATCCTTCAGATTCTATACCACCACAATAGAAACTTAGAAAAATTTTGGTATCTCTTGCTATGGTAGCTATTTGGGAAGACAGCACTTCATAAAAATAAACAAATTGATCAGAAAGGCATCAAAAACAATTGGTAGAGACCTAAATAACTTTGAATATCTACACAAAACGAACATTCTAAATAGGCAGAAATAATGAAAAATGACCATAGCCACCCACTAACATTGGAATTTCAATTATCGACCCTCAGTGAACGAACAGACATATAAAAATTCTTTCTTACTAACTGCAGTGAGGTTACTGAACACACAGTGCTCCAATGAAACAAAGAGAGAGAGAGAGAGAGAA